GCCTCATCCTTCAGGCCATCGCATTGTAGACCAACTTTTGGATTCCATCGAGCGAATTGCTGCTGGGTGATGCCACGATAGGAAGTGACCTGCCAGCATCTGTTGCTCTTCCAAATATAGTGAAATTGATTACAGTTGCTGACCATTTCGGGCTGCGTGGGCTGCGGCGTCTCGATGCCGTTGGATGGCGCGATGCGACTCGGAGTCTCGATGTCGTTAGATAGAGCGATTCTACTTAGAGTCTCGACGCCGTCGGATGAAGCGATGCTGCTTAGAGTCTCGATGCCGTTGGATGGAGCGATGCTGCTTGGAGCCTCGATACTGCTACTTGGAGCCTCGATGTTGCCTAGAGCCTCGATGCCGTCAGATGAACCGATCCTGCTTGGAGCCTCGATACTGCTTGGAGCCTCGATACTGCTTGGAGCCTCGATACTGCTTGGAGCCTTGATGATGCTTGGAGCCTCCATGATGCTTGGAGCCTTGATGATGCTTGGAGCCTTGATGATGCTTGGAGCCTCCATGATGCTTGGAGCCTCGATGCCGTTAGATGAAGTGATGTTGCTTAGAGCCTCGATGCCGTTAGATGGAGCGATGCTACTCGGAGTCGGTACAGGTGTCAAAGATTTTACGTCGACGCCGACGCAGGCGTAGTGGTCCGGCCATAGGCTGGTGCAGTTGCTACCAATCTTGGGGTTCCATCGGGCAAACTGCTCCTGAGTGATGCGGTGATAGAACGTAATCTGGCCGCAGGTGTTACCATTCCTAATGTAATGAAATTTGTTGCAGTTGCTAACCATGTCGGCCTGCGTGGGCTGCGGCGTCTGGATGCCGTTGCCCGCGCTCGTGGTCGCGGACGATGTAGTAGATGTGAGATTCGCTCGTGGTCCTTCATCAAAAGTAGAAACGCTAACGTGATTCTGAGCCGTGAGCTGGCTATAGTTCCTACTGGCCACGCCGATCAACTTGATGAAGTTGTTAAAAGAGACGGAAAAGAGGGAAGACACTGAGGCGTAAGCGTCCTCACAGCCTAAGGCATAAGACTTGTTGTAGTTGTCCATTCCGGGCTGGGCAGGCGATGGAGTGATCAAGGCTAGTACGACATTTTGTTCAGCTTAGAAATTAAAAACTAAAGGCGACTGCTCTAGGACATACTATTTGTGGTATGTGTGGGAGTGGGTGTCAAAGTAGTGATAGCAGTGAAAATCTCTGTTGCTGGAGGTTCTGCGCGGCTCGCATCTAAGTAGTACGACTGGCCCTTTTGAAAGTTTCTGCAAATGTATATAATGAACGGGTTCTGATGACCTGATTAGTTGTTAAAGACCGTGACGAAGTGAGTCGACTGCGCGTACCTATCTGTGAAACCAGATAAGGTCGGTCTTGGTGTAGGATACTACGGAGGCATAGTCATAGGTACCGTCGTTGTTGTACCACTGAGTGTAAGGGCTAGGAGTTCTGGGATCGTAAGGCATCTTCGGATTCTCGGAAACCTTTTCCTAGAGCGCACCGTTCGTCTAAAGGCCGTCATTGGCGTGAGCTGGCAGAGGCAGGAAAGCTAATATGGCTACAGTAAGCTTCTGCATCATTTTCACAATGACTGTACTTTTTTTTTGCTCTGCTAGAAAAGAGGGCAGCAACTACTGACCACATAACTTATTATATATAATACTAATAGACGGGAGTAGAGCATTGGCAAAACCGACGGCCGGCGAAACCGACCATAGTTCCAACCTGATATCGACCAACTCGTTACTTTCTACTGGCAGCCACCAATTATCTCAGTGCTGGCTGGGGCCTTTTTCGAAATATCGCAAGTAATTCTCCACGCACCGCGCTCTTGTCACTTTCTTCCACCCGCGGAAGCACGCGAGGCACTACAGACAATCGATACGGTCGTTGTGTTCGACTGTGAGTTCTTTGGGCAAGTAAAATGAGTTTCCACAGTTGTGGCGGAAATATGCTCTTGGCGTCGCTCACGGGCATTATCCGAATCGGAAAAAGGTTCATCAGCATGTTCACTACTCCACCTGCCCCCATAGTTTAACCTTAATCCTATACATGTGTAAAGTAGTCTCTATTCCCCTTTATTCGTCGGTCAAGGAAGTAAGGGAGGAACTATAACGCTGTATTATAGATTAATAACCGGAGGTCGCCCACTTAGCACGTCGTATTCCCGGTTTGGGCGCCACTATTAATTAAGCGTGGAGTTGAGAGAAAAATTTCTTCAATAAACGTTGGATAACAATTTAGAAGGAAAAATGTGCCTATTCCATCCTATCACGTCTGTACGGGCGGACGGCCGCGGCTTGTTCACTGGCCGACGATAGCGTGATGGGTACCGCGTTGTCTCCCTTTTCTCGACGGGATCCTAATAAAAGGATATAGCCACTAACGCGAGCCACACGTGGATGGTAATGTGAGTCTTTAGGCAGCAAAATTTGGCTAAGTGCTGGGCGGACTCGGTGGAGAGTCGCGCAGGATTGTACACTCATATTGAGATTGTCTGCATTAGGGTCAGGGAGTAGAGTGGCAATCTGGTCCGGTGTCTCGATAGTACTTGCCTAGAAATCCTGTTCTCGTAGCTCAATCATATGATCCATGGCCGTGGAAATTAACTCTAGAAGCTTTGAGGCCGCGAGCTCTTCTAGGGTCGTTTTCATTTAAACTCGTGATATGATTGTAAATCCTTTGCTGATTATCGGAAAGAGTGGAGAAGAACATCTGGAATTCTGAAGGCTCTCGGCCACGAGTAGAGCCGTCTAAATGTGGATAGTTGAGATGGGCCTTGTACGGACGACGACCCTGAGTGCGTGATAAGGCTTTGGCCTGCGCTGTGGCTTCCCGGACTTGTCATATATGACGACCGCGTTGGTGATGCCCTTACCCACTGGCATTCCAGGAGACTAGGTGGGATTCGCTTCAAGCCCAGCTCTTGTAGTTGGCGTTCTTTTCGTGTGGTGGGTTCTGCCTCACGACTGCCGGCGGCTCATAATTATCCACCGCGTCATTTATAGTCCCTATAGAAGCTTCGAGATCAGACATGGTTTTCGAAAAATTCATAAGAGCTTCTTGCTTGCCCTAATCTCTAAGGTGGCTTATCTCGATTGATGTACCTAAAATGCTAATTCTGTCGAGATTGGGATTGGCGCCGGGCTCGATCTATTTGAGGAACTCTCCTAGATAGCACTTGCGCGTCGAAATATGTTAGATTGCCAAGAAGATGCTGAAGTGGAAGTGTGTAGACTGCTTACTCTGTGTGCCACGCCGTTGAAACCCGTAAGAGACCTAATATAGCCTGTCGCAAGTCGTATGGACTCTTTGTCTAGCAATTCCTCACCGAGGTATAGTAGACATTTAAATAGTACAGAGATCTGAGTCGTCTGTTAGAAGTGCTTAGGGTATTATGTCGCAGTATTCTGCAATGTACCGTTTGGCGACACCTCGAACGCCAAATGAGGGCGGCTAAGTGGGCGCAGAATGCTGCTATAATAAGACAGACGAGCTTTATGACGGTCACCCTGGGCGATGAAGGAGCTGAAAATGCGTAATAAAAGATATGATGTGAATAAAGGCTAAGGGAGAAAAAGGGAATGAAAAAGACCACACTTAATTATTTGTGATTATTTGGGAATAAAAAACGGGAGCTACGGCCTGTGACTGCGCGGTTTAGGAGCTCGTGCTTTCTAATGTTTATTAATGTTAAAACGTTGTTAGTGTAAAGCAGCCCTTGAAATATCTGCTATGGGGTCCGAGATTTAATGCAATATAGTCTAAAAAATCTTGAAAATATCTAGTCAATCCTGTTAGCTGCCTCTAATTCCCACTAGGACAATTCTAAAGCTGACTCTGTAAATAGTAAAAACGCGCCATGAGCGTGAAAGTCGTGGCTTAAAAAGGTGCCGGCGTTGTTTCCTCTTTAATCAGTCTTCAAGACCTTGTATTTCATACATATCCGAGAACATCAGACCAGGTAATCCCAAGCATGCGGGGGCGACTGTTAAGATTGCTGGACCGCAACCCTTCCTTCCGTCCTTTGCGAATGATACTTCGCGGTATCGGTGCCGAACTCGTGGACACTGTCGGGGTTTCGGCATGAATATCGCATTTGGATCATGCCAAGAGTTCGAGTCCACAGCGCCTCCCTTGTCAGAAATCGCCACGGTAATAGCCGTTCGGGTCATCTAAACCGAGAAACTGGGAAAGGACCTATGACACATGTTTCAATATATGGCGAGTTGTGGCGGAACAAGCGAGCGAAAGAGAGCAAAAGACGTCACACGAACAGGGAAAGCAAAGACCTAGATAATTGTGTGTATGAAAGTGGCGGCTGATGAAGTGTCCTGGCTGAGTCAGCAAGCCGAGGCCTGCCAACAATCCCCGGTACAAAAGAAGATATCGTCTGCGAATTCAATTAATTTAAAAACCTTTATTTCTATAATTAGATTTATGTGAAATAATATATTATAATATAATTTGTTTTTAAAACCTCTTTAGACTTATAAAATAAGCTTACTTAAGGATATTAAGAAATTAGGAAATATAATAACTAATCTTTTAAAACTAGTGTGATGTTCGGGGAGAACCGCAAAAAGCCCACAGCAGTAGATACCACATAAGACCATCGAGTCGTACATAACACAGGTTTAAAGATATCGTCCCTCTAAGGGTAGGTGTGTGTTTTATAAGATTATCGACTGTTGATCAGGACCTTAGTGTTACGAACGCTCCTATATAAGGCACGGGCATGCACCGTGGCGGGGTCAGACATAGGCAGGATATAGAAGAAAGAAACACATAGTCACGTAACTACATTAAGAGTAATTAATAAATCACCTATTAATTACTATAATTAAGGATTAATAAATAATTAAATAATTAAGATAATTAGTCTTTATAATAAAGATATAAATAAGTACTTAAGAGAGAGATATTCTTATAATTAAGTAATCTAGATCTTTACTAATTAATTTAAATAATAATTTTATTATTAAGAGTTTTACTCTTAATAAAACTTTATATTAAAAATATTATTTATTATTATTATATAATATTTAAACCTAATTTATTATTTAAGAAATAAATAAATTATAAATTAAAAATAAGTTATTATTATATTTTAATTAGTTTTATTTAATAAATTATTTTTAAAACCTTAAGTAGTTAACTTTTTATAATATTTATTATAAATAAAAATATTATTAACCTTAATAAGGTTATTATAAACCTTAATAATAAAGTTAAATATTTTTATATATAGTTAAAGAAAATAAAGCTTAAGAAGCTAAAAAAAGAAAATTATTATAATATC